GGCGGGCAGGGGGGAGGGGGGGGGGGGGAACAGGAGGGTAGGGGAGGGGGCCGTAGAGAACCTGCAGGGCCTCTCTTCTACAAGCAGAGTGAGCCCGAGGCCTCCTTGTGCAGCCCCAGACTCCCAAAACTGAGCCTGGAAGAGCGGTGCAGATCAACCTCTCGCATTGCAGCAGCGCCAGAATCTCTCGCTTTGTGCCCCAAAGATTCTCCAAGGCTGCCCGTGATGAGCTCCTTCCTAGAGACCCAAGGAGGACACCTGGGCATTATCCAGTGCACCATTGACAGTGACCCGCCCTCAGAGATCGCTTTGTACAAGGGCAACACACTCGTGGGCTCCACCAGCATTGTTCACCTGGCAACTGACCCAAGAGTGCACGTGGCCACCTCCTATAACACCCTGAAGGTGACCATCAAGGACCTGACGCTGGACGATGAAGGAGAGTACATGTGCTCAGCTCAAAACCGCTATGGAGACGCCATGGCCACCGTGGAGTTCACCGCAGAAAGTAGGTCACTGAAAAGGGGGCCTTCTTACCCACTCTGGTTACTGAGAAACATGAGCAGAAAATTGGGCAAAATTGGGAGGAGGGGTCTAAAGGGATTAAAAAATAAGAATAATAACAATGGGGCAGTATCCAGCAACACGTATGCCACATCTTAACCAGTTAGAGAAATGGGCAAGAAAGAACGGAAAGAAATGCAAAATTTCTGCACTTAGGAAACAGAAAGTGAATAAACAAGACGTCTAAGGGGCTTACCCAGGCTGGCAAGAGTGTTTGTGCAAAAGATCTTGGGAATCCTAGTTGATTGCAACTGAATGTAAGCCAGCAGCATGATGTTCCTGCAAAAATGGCAAATGCAATTAATTATAGGATGCATCAATAAAAGTGTAACTTCCATATTGTGGAGTGTGACCCTTCCACTTGATTCTGCTTTGGGTAGATCCTGCCTTGAGAGCAGGATCCAGTTCAAGACCCCACCCTTGGAGAAGCCTCAGGGAAATTGAAGCAGATTCAGAGAAGGGCAGTGAGAATGATCAGAGGACTAGAAGTCCCATGAAGAAAGAGTAAAGGAGCCACAGAGGTGAGCTTCAAGAAGAGAAAGCAGGCAGCTGGACATAATACAAGTAGTCCTTGACTTACAACCATTTGTTTAACAATCATTCAAAGTTACAATGGGGCTGAAAAAAAGTGACAACTGGTCCTCGCAGCATCCCTGTGGTCACGGGATCCAAATTTGGGTGCTTGGCAACCGGCGTACATTTATGATGGTTGTAGCATCCCGGGGTCATGTGATCGCCATTTGCGACCTTCCCAGCGGGCTTCCAACAAGCAAAATCAGTGGGGGACCGTGTGATTCACTTAATGGCCATGGCAAAAATGGTCATTAAATTGGGCGTGACTCACATAATGACTGCATCACTTAGCGATGGAAGTTCCGGTCCCGATTGCAATCTTCTTCTAGAAGACAGTCAAGGTCTGTTGTCTCACACTCCGGCGTACAGGACACGGAATAAAGGACTGCAATTATAGGGAGGCGGGTTCCGACTGACCGGTAGGGACACTTCCGTAAGCAAAAAAGACGCACAGTCAACAGCCAGGAATGATTTAATTTGGCCAATGAAGCCAAACTGAGTGAGTCTGGAGTCAGCAAACTTTTCAGTTCTGTGATTCTATCAATGCAGAGCGGAGATTTCAGAGATGCTGCAGCCCCGCCCCCGGGATGTCCGCCTGGGGGGTGTTCAAAAAGGTCAAGAGGGCCCCCTCGACCACCTACCCGTAAGGTGTAGGCTTTGATTGCGTGGCTGAGGGGCCCCTCTTGACTCTTTGGCCCCACTGAGCACCCCCTGGATAGAACTCCAGAGCCCTTCCAAAAATTACATCAAGTTGCATTTAAGGGAACCCAAGGGGAGAGATGCTTAAATCCAAGGGCAATTACTGCATAATCTCTTCCTTTAAGTCCACGGTGACTGGTGAGATGATCAGTTTCCAGGTGTTACTGATCTTAAGGCCTAGGAACTTGCATGAAAACAAATGAAATGCGCCCAGTGCTCGGGTCAGTTCCCAGAAACCCACTGCCTGACTCAGTCAGCCAAAGGTGGGTGCAGGAGTGTCTGCAGGGTGTGGTCAAAAAAGTCAAGATGGTGGGCCCGATGGTATGATCCACGCTCTGCATGTTTGTTTTTTTGAGCTTCAATTACACCATCATGACCACCATCTTGACCTTTTTGACCACACCTTGGGGACAGGCCTGGGTGGGGAGGTTGGTGAGTTGACTGACAGCAGCTCACCAGTTTCCCAGTGTTGGAAGACCGAAGGCTGTTCGAGGACAGGCCTAACCCTGCTGCTGGTTTGGACGGGGAAAAGGCTTTCTCGAAACTGGTCCGGAGGGGCCCTTCCTTCCCTTCCCTTCACTTCTTTCCTTTCCTCTCCTTCCTTCTCGGATGCGCCTCCCCGCTTCTTCTGTCCGGCTGGCCTTCAGCCGTGAGAATCGTCATCACCCCGTCCTCGGAGGTCCGCGAAGGCAGCGCAGTCCGTCTCTCCTGCGCTCTGACCGCCGACGTCTCCGCCTCGGCCAACTACTCCTGGTTCAAGGAGGGCGTCCGTCTCCCTGGGGCCTCCGGGGATTCCCTGGCGTTCGAGCAAGTGGCCGCTGACGATGCCGGGGGATATCAGTGCCGGGTGGACAATCCGGGAGCCAGCAAGACCTCCCCTTCGACCCCGCTGTCTGTGCTGCGTAAGATCCAATTTCACTCAAAATTGCATATAATGAAATTTGTGTGCATGCATTTTAACTGCCTTGATGAGTTTAGATACTCATCGCAAGCAGAAATCTTAAATATCCACTTGAAGAGTTGCACTTGCGGGTCCCGGAAGGAGACCGTTTCTAACGCGGGTAAGATCGCAAGCCCGGGGACGAGCCTTAAACAGTCTTCCTCCACTTTCCTGCCTCTAGATTCCCACTGTCCCGACTGAAATAGAATTTGGCTTTCACTTTGCTCCCCAGCAGGGGTATCCGCAGAGCGTGGTCAAGATGGCGGCCGCAGCAGAGCGGTCGAAGCTCTGCCTGCATCGCACATAAAACGCCCATACAAAAACAGGTAGAGCTTCAACCGCACCATCGCAGCCACCATCTTGACTTTTTTGACCACCCCCCATCCTCTAGATTTGTTAGATCCCAGCTCCCGTCACTCCCAGTCCCAAACAAGACCCCCAACAAAGGCATCACTGGATAGATGCCAATGATGCAGTCAGTGAAGGCGTGGGACTCTGGTGATGGTGCCAGCTGGACCTAAGAGGACACCCTTGGGTGCTTCAGACACCTGGGCATGGTCCTTATCCTCCCAGTCTAAAACTGAGCATTGGGGGATTTGAGAAAAGTGGAAGGAGGGCCTTGTCCCATAGCACATAGGAAACTGTGGCACCACCAACGTGAGCACCTTTTAAAAGGGACGGGACGCTCGGTGGCTCAGAGGACGACTGTCAGTCTTACGTGCTCAGGAGCGTCAGCAGAATTAAGCAATTTAGAGCCGGCCTCCAGGAGAATATGCAAGGACCATGAAGGAGGGGGACAAGATTACAGTGGGCAGGTGGTGAGAAAGAAACTCAGCATAACCCCACCTTGATTTTCTTTAGTGTAAGATGGGACACAGAGAAACTCGGACAGGCTTTCAAACTGGTGTCAGCCTTTCGAGGTAGGCCAGGCAAGAAATAGGCATGGCAGGTATCCCAGGAACCCTTCATTGTAGAAGGATAGAATAACACGTGTTTCTCAACCTTGGCAACTTTAAGACCGGTGGACTTCAACTCCCAGAATTCCCCAGCC